GCGGGGGGGCCCGGGGGGGGGGGGGGGGGGGGGGGGGGGGCTGGGCCTCCTGACTCACCTGCCCCACCTCCATCCAGCTGCTCCGCGCTCGATGCCGGGCTGGGTGGGTCCTGGGAGGCGGCCTCGTTCCCGAGCTTCTAAAAAACCCAGCACCCCCCAAAGTGCGTGTTCATTTAAAGCGTGAGAGGCACAGAGCAGACAGCGGCGACAAGAATGGCGCTTTGCTGTCAATCCTCATAGTTTATAAGTTCTTCTCAATGGAATGTCTCCCCTTTGGGGAGGGGAAAAGGCACCCTGTTTGGGACAGGCCACGGGTGGGGCCGGGCCCCAGGTGCGCTGGCAGGTGGAGGAGGGAAGGCTGAGGACAGGAAACAGAGAGGCCGCTTTGCCCCGCCCCCACTGTTTCGCCTCCTGCAAGAGCCCTGACCAGGGCCCGGGAGGAGCCTGCAACCCAAGTACCGTCCTTGCCCGGAATCGAACCCGGGACCCTGCGGTCCGCAGGCCGACGCTCTGTCCACTGAGCTGAGCCGGCCAGGGCGATCGCGGCTCTTCAGCTCCTCCCTGGCTGAGCTGCTGTGTGAATCTGCCGCCCTCACTCCCGCCTGGGCCCTGACCCTGCACAGGGGCAGGACCTGCTCCAAGTGGGGCCGGAACCTCTCCCACGGGAACGCCCCGAAGAGGAGCGAGGTCCCGGGCAGCACCAAGGACACAGGTGTGGTGCGTCAGCGGCAGACGCAGGTAAGCCGGCGGGAATGCATTAAAGACGAACCCTGGGCCCGGCCGGCGTGGCTCCGTGGGTAGAGCGTCAGCCTGCAGACTGAAGGGCCCCGGGTTCGGTTCCAGTCAAGGGCATGTGCCTCAGTTGCAGGCTCCATCCCTGGCCCCAGGTCAGGGGGCGTTGGGAGGCAACCAATCGATGTGTCTCTCAAGTCATTGTTTCTCTCTTCTCTCCCCCTTCCTTCCTCTCTCTCTAAAAATCAATGGGAACATACCCTTGGGTGAGATTAACAACAACACAAAACCCCTCAGACTTTATGTGGACGGAGTCTGGCGGGAAGGACGGGGAAGGGGAAACGCGGCTGCCCCGGCAGCCCCTGCGCCAG